CACACACACACACATACTATCTATCTATCTCTCTATCTAAATATACGATAGAATAATAAGAAGAGCAGCAGCAGCAGCAAAGCTGGAATGCAATAAAGAGCAATTGACAGCAGATGTTGTCACACTGTTCGGTGGGATTCTGCCACCACCACTGCCGTCGCTTGTTCATTTTTCATCTTTCTCTTTCCCGACCAAAGCAAAGATCGGAAAAAAAGAAAACGGGAGAATGTGTGCAAGCCTGAGCTTTGTTACTCACAGCACTGCTAGAAATCGCCGTACAATGCTTTTGCTTTTGTGTACAGTGCCAGACATTGGTCAGCATATGGCAACCGATAAATTCTGGCCAAATAGCCAATAGTGTTGTTGTTGCTAGGCTGGCTTCTATAAGCACAAGTAATTCCCTAGCTTTTTACCCTAAGTAAATGTGGCCACAAGTTCAACTAACAAAAAAAGAAAAGTAAAAAAGGTCAAGGCACTTACTTATGATGTTGTGGGATGTTGTGGGAGGAGGAGGAGGAGGAGCGGTGAGGTCAGCGGTGATGAAAAGCTAATGAGCTCAACTTGGTTTGTTGTACAATGAAAAAAAAGAAAAATTTATTCTGAAGAAATGATAAGGGCACGGGTAGTTGTAAGCTGCTTCTGAAGATGATTTGATGTGACGATGATGTTGTAGCAGCACACACAATTGTCAGTGTTCAGATGAAAAAGAAAGCTGTTCTGAAGAAAGAAAGAAAATGAGATGATAAAGACAAAGATGACAAATTCACTTTTTTTGGCTGAAACAAAACTTTGCTGGTGTTGCGTGACAAGGCAGCGAAAAGCGAACTGTCTTTGTCTCAGCGGTAGTGTTCAATGTATGCACTTCAAGTGGACGCACATGCGGCGACAAATACACACACACACACACACTACACTCTGCAGACGGCAATGCACAGACACAAATGTACACAGCAGCGGCAGTGTGCAGCCTGAATAGCAGCTCCAGTGCAACTAACTCACACGCGGCCAGACTCCAAGAAGAAGAGAGAGCTCCAGAAAACAGAAAACAGAGGCAAAAGAGGAGGAAGAAGAAGGAGAAAAGCCGAGTAGCTTTTGGAGCCTGAAAATCAAAGGNAATGTACACAGCAGCGGCAGTGTGCAGCCTGAATAGCAGCTCCAGTGCAACTAACTCACACGCGGCCAGACTCCAAGAAGAAGAGAGAGCTCCAGAAAACAGAAAACAGAGGCAAAAGAGGAGGAAGAAGAAGGAGAAAAGCCGAGTAGCTTTTGGAGCCTGAAAATCAAAGGAAGAGGAGGAGGAGGAGAAGAACTGGAGGCAGACTTTTCTCAGCGCCGGTCTCTTTCTGGTTTCCCTAACTGACGAATGCTGCTGCTGCTACTTTTGGATCGGGTCGTTTTCTTCGCCAAACAACAGCAAAAAGAACTAGTAATAATTTCTCATCTGCAGCAAAAGCAGAAGACGATCTTGAAGAATCAGCGACGATTACGACGGTTGTGCGGACAAAAAACTGACGACGAAACGATCGTGCCCTCGAGAGAGAGAGGAGGGAGCTCGTGGGAGCCAGCTAAAGTTCAGTCGATAGAAAGAGAGGGAGAGAGTGTCGCCAGTGTGTGTCTAGCGACCACCACCAACCAAACGCTCTGATTTTTATCGAGAACCAGTGCAGAGCCAAGCGAGAGAGAGAGAGTCAGAGTCAGAGTCAGTAAGTAAGAGTCAAAGCAGAAGAAGAAGAAGTGAGAGACCACCAGAGACCGGAGAAGTTGAAGAAAGAAGAAGAAAAAGAGGAGGAGGAGGAAAAAGAATAAGGAGAAAGTGATTTGGCGGCGGCGATAAAGCAGCAGCAGCAGAAATTGAAAGCGCACCACTGAACTGCAATTGCAATCGAATCNCCACCACCAACCAAACGCTCTGATTTTTATCGAGAACCAGTGCAGAGCCAAGCGAGAGAGAGAGTCAGAGTCAGAGTCAGTAAGTAAGAGTCAAAGCAGAAGAAGAAGAAGTGAGAGACCACCAGAGACCGGAGAAGTTGAAGAAAGAAGAAGAAAAAGAGGAGGAGGAGGAAAAAGAATAAGGAGAAAGTGATTTGGCGGCGGCGATAAAGCAGCAGCAGCAGAAATTGAAAGCGCACCACTGAACTGCAATTGCAATCGAATCGAACCGAACCGAACCGAATGGCAGCCAGTTAGTCGACCACCACCAACCAGTGTCACCAAGGAAAGAAAAACGGCCAACAGAGAATCAGTGTGCCGTCAATCAGAAGAGAACAGAGCAGAGAGCTGAGAGAAACCCCCGCCGATAATGGCGTCGCAGTTATAGAAAAGAGATAGATAGCAATGACAAAGAAGGAAGAAGAAAGAAAAATTAGAAAAGTCGTTTCGATAATGGCAGAAGCGGCAGCGGCAGCAGCAGCCGCCTATGATGATGGTGATGGCCCAATAATAATAAAAGTGCAATTGAATTGCCACCGCCGCCGTTATTGACCATCACACCAGTACCACCGCCACTTCTAAAGCGCAGAAAAGAGGAAATGAATGGAAAAGCAAGTGATAAGAAGAAGAAGGAGAAGCTGAAGAAGAAGCAGACCGAAAATTCTGGAGCACTACTTCATGCGAGAGAGAGAGAGAGAGAGAGAGAGAGAGAAGACGATTCCTTGACCGTTCGAGCAGCTGCTGCCACCACCATCATCTAAATCGGATGGACAGTGGAGAGGTGCCAGGAGCCACGACACCAGCGTCATTCTCTGTGCTAAATCGACCGATGGATTGCCGCCGAAATGATAATTAGCAGCCGTTGATATTTGCTGGCCTATTTACAGCAGACATTTACAAACTCATTTCGACTACTTTTTACTTCTATTGTACTTCAATGGTCGGTAATCAGAACAGAGCAGACTAATTAGCATCAAGAACAAAGAACTAGCAACCAAACAGATCGTCAACTTCATTCATCCCCCCCATTCCCCCACCATTTGCAAGCGATCGAGCATCAATTTCGATGCGACGATGAGGTCTCGCTTCGTCGACTACTCTGCCTCTAAATAATGCACGATGCAGCGAACACTGAACACTGAAGTCAACGACGGAGGCAGACGAATTAATTGTCCCATTGTGCTAATGCGTCCCTAGCGTCGGCGGCGGCGGTTGCGTGTCTGTCTCATTGGCCAGTCAGAAAAAACTGCCGTACCGCAGTGCAACAACAGCAGCAGCAACAGCAAAGGCAGCGGCAGTCGTACCTTCTCAATAATTCATTCCATTTTCTGTCCAGTGTGTGCGTTATCTTTTCCGTCAAATTAGCGCGCTCTGGCAAACACACACACACACAACGCGAAACTTTTCTCTTTCGGGAGCAGGTAAAAGAAGAAAGCACTGAGCACTGAGGGTGGTCCTCCATTACCTGTCTGGCTAATTTGCTCTCCGGTAAACAGGGCGGCACTGCACTGTACTGTACTGCAGTGCAGAACTAGCACACCGGCAATGAGCTATGACCAAACTCCCCTAATTTCTCGCTAATTCACTTAACCTCCCCCTCCTCAGTTATTAGATGATGATATAATAAAGTTGCTGCTGGTGCTGCTGCTGATTCTGCTGTTGCTGAGCAGTAGCAAGTCAAGGTGGCGGCAGTGGTCGCGAATGTCAACTGAGGGCAAAAACTGAAACTGTCATTTTCTGCCGCTGCCCAAATGGAAAGAAATGGCCTCGTGTGCTGTGCATGTGTGTGTGTGTGGTAGTGAAAGACAAAACAGTAGAGCTCCACACTAGCGAATAGGCAAAAAGAAAAAGAAGAATGTGTGCACAAGGAGAACAAAGGACTGCTACTGAACAACAACAACGACAACAACGCCGACCATCCGCGCCATTATTTTTCCCTTGTTCGACGATGGTCGTTGCAGCAGCAACAGCACAACAAAGCTCTTTTGAGAAAGCTGCAGCATCAGCAGAGCATCCCCAGCATCAGCAGAAGCTCTAGTTGAACATTAAACGAGGGAGCTAGAAGATAGAGGAGCCAAACACGATGTGGCAGTAATCATCATCATTACTGATGATGATAACGGGGCAGAGCAGGGACAACACACACACACACACAGTCTGCTCCAATCTCGATAATTAGTACCAAGAGAGAGAGAAAGGGATACTGCTGCTGCTGCTGCTGCTGCTGAACTACTAAGCTACTCACCCTCAGATGAGAGCACAGACTAAGAAGAGCAGCAGCAGAACTCGAACCATCAAAGTCGGCATTAAAGTAAAGGCTTAATCGGGTAACTGCCGAACTGCCTTGATCAGTCTCGCAATGTGAGATGCTACCACTGCCACTGCTTCTGCTGCTGCTGCTGGCAAAATATTATTATTATTTGCACATCCGTCAGACGCCCAGGCAAACGACCAGGCTGTCTCTAATGTGTCAGATAATGTGCCACTGCTACTAGTGCTCGGCCTGTGCCTTGTCAACACACACACGCAGAGTGTATGGCAATTACTGGACGACAACGTCGTCGTCTTTTGCTAGACGACGACAAATTGATTGCATCCGCTGCCAGAGCCGCTGCTCTATATATCCCCAGTCCATTCTATTCGCACATCTCAGCACATTGCCCACTGCCATCGACAGTGGCAGTAATAATCGACAGCAGCTCAGATCGGGCAAACTGCGCTGCTGTCGATAAAGAGCGAGCGGGGCCAAAACGAGAATATAATGAAATTAAAGAAGCAAACTTACCGATAAAGAAATGTGTTCCCGCCGAATGATGACAGTTTGAACATTGGGGATGGGCTGACAAGAATGGGCTGACACGATGAGATGAGATGAGCAAAACAAACAAACAAACAAATGATGTCAGTTGGCAGTGGAGGAATTCACTGCCTCAACTACCACTTCTTCTTTTTCTTCTTCTCCTTCAGTTCTTCTTTTTTTTCGTCTGAACTTTCCCTGAACAAAGATGCGCGGCACTGCGAGGCCCTTCTTCAAGTTGACCGTCTCCCGTTGGACGTACTCGAGGGTGAGCACTTCCAGATCGCAACTGTTGGCCATATCGGTGAGCAGCTCTGTTGCCAGGAAAGGAAAGGAAGGAAAAAAGGAGAAAGTTAAATTAAATTTAAATTGAATTCCCAAACGTGTGAAGTGAAGTGGTGGAGGAGGGAAAAAGTGATGAGAGAGTTGGAAAGTTTCGTCAAAAGAGCCCCATCGCATCCTTCCTCTTAATTTTTAATTTAATTTGAAGAAGCTTCATTCTCACCTTTTGAAAAGTAGTAGGCTCGAGTGCCATCCTGGCGGACGTAGTAGTTCTCGCCCAGCTTCGAGCCGGCGGCAAAGCGCAGCTGTGCGTAGTCGTAGAGCCCGTAGTCGCGCAGTATGAGAATGCCCTCATCTTCATCGAGGACCTAGAGACAAAGTAGAACGGTTTTTGTTGTTAGAAAGCAGAGAAAGCGAGATACGTCACTCTAAGTTGAGCGAGAGAGCAATGCTTAACAGTTCTAAAATCTCAGCGTTCCAAACCCTGACAATTTTAGAACGTTCCAAACTTACCTCGGCGACGTTCCGCAGCGCAGTGGCCATCTTTTCGGGGTGAATCGCCGAGAGGACAAAGATGAGCGAGACGACGTGAAAACGAAGGCCGGCGTCTACCTTCTCCGCAATTGCGCCCGCCTTGGAGAGGTCCGCCTGAAAGACGGCGCCGCCAAAAGTCTGCTCATCATAGAGCTCATTTGACTTGAAGAGATCCAACGCCACCGGAGAAAAGTCGCAGGCGTAGTAGGTGAATGGAAGCTCCAGTTTGATCAGCGGCCAGATGAAGTTGCCCACGCCGCAGCCGGCCTCCAGAAGATTGAGCTTTTTACCACTCTCAGTCGTGCTCATTTGGGGCAGCCGCAGCAGCTCTTCGAACTCTCGCGTCGTCCAGTGGCGGTCGCGAAAAAACTTATCAAGATTACGCTTGTAAAAGAGGTCCCAATTCTTCTTGGCGTCAGTCTCCAGCTTCGTCTGACGAAACGGAGCCACCAACTGGCGGTCCGCGCAAAGCTTCGCAATCTCATCCTCAGTCAGCTGGCGGGCTTCGTGGGCAAAGGTTTGAGCAGTTGGTGAAGAAGAAGGAGAATCGGAGTTCATAGTTTATTTGAAGTCCAAAGTCGAGAAACCAAGGAAAAGCTAATTTCGAAATGCGAGGGAAAAGATAAACACAAAAACACGTGAGCGCTATTTTGACAGCAGTAGCTCTACCTATCGGCAAAAAGTAGAAACTTTGTTTCCTCATTCAGAAAACTTCTAAATAAGGAGTTTATTTATTATCACCAAAAAGATATTATACATCACGTCTCGACTTGCGGCTTCAAATTGATAAAGCTATTGCTGTTCTCCGCCAGCTCGCTAATGGAGACACGGCCTCGCTGGCGAATAAACCGAGCCACCTGGCCCAGCTCCTCCTCGGTGATGTAGATGAACTTGCCGCGGTCGTCGATGACGCCCACCAGCTGCTCCGCCGCCAGGAGGTCTTGTATCCGACTGACCACCTCAGCGGTGCGCAGATTAAAGTGGCCCGCCAGCTCGTCCATGTGGACCACCTTGGCGGCCTTGATGTAGTCGATGAAGGCGGCCAGGCGGTTCTGGCTCTCCTCCTCGCCGACGTCGCCGTCGCAGCCTTCCTCCTCGATGGCGAAGCTCTCCTTCAGCTTCAGGTACTCCTCGTACTCCTCGCGTTCTTTCTTTTCCTTCTCCAAGCGCTCCGCTTCGGCCTAAAAAAAGTAACAGAGTAATTAGAAAAAAGATGATCATCTCAAACAAAACAAAAAAGACTCTCACCTTGGCCTTCTCCTCCGCCTCCAACTGCTGCTCCTCGAGCTTCCGTGCCTGCTCCAGCTCCTCGGCCTTCTTCTTCCGCTCCTCCCGTTCTTGGAGTTCATATTCTCGCGCCCGCTTGCGCTCCTCCTTCATCTCCAGCTTGCGCTGCTTCTTCACGCCCATCTTCTTGCCGGAGTCGTCGACGTAGGCCATCCCTGGGTCCATCATCTCGTCGTCTTCGTCGAACGGCGGCATATTATCATCGTTATCCTCGTCATCTTCCTCGTCATCGCTGTTATTTCGCTGAGCAGCAGCAGCTCTTCGGTGGCGTACATTAGGCGGTGCTCCTCGAGGTCGTCCGCTGGCCGCTGGTCTGCCCGGGCGAATCGGTCCTCTTCGAGCTGCAGCTCGATTATCATTATTTTCTTCTTCCGCCTCTCCCGACCTCGTGACGCCCTTGTAGGCGATGAAGATGAGAAAGGCGATCACGAGAAAGGAGAAGGCGAGTGTCAGAACGACGATCATCGTTGCAGCTGGAACATCAGATTGTTTTGGTGTATGATTTCATCAGCAGCAGCAGCTGAAACGTAAGCAAACGTGGAGGGAAAGACTTTTTCAAAGACGAGCGGAAAAGTTGCCGCAACTTGCTGCTGCTGCTTTTGACAACAACGCAAAAAATCGCCGATGACAGCTGTCAGCTGAGTTTCTTAATCATCTTCTTCCACCTTTGTATGAATCCAAGGATCCTCTGCAACGGGAATTCAACTGAAAACTCGTGGAATGCTAAAGTAGAACGTTAGGGATGGCGGCCGAGAATGCTGCTGCGCTCGAAAACAGTAAATCACCGCCATCATCAAAGGTAGTGCTCACCGTGGACCGGCACTTAAGGGTGACTAGCTCCTATGTAGTTTCGGGATCGACACCAGCTAAAGGAGAGATTGGGTAAAGAGGGAAATAGAAAACAGGAACTCTTTTTGTTGTACTGATGACGACACTTTGTCCTGCTTGTAACAGTGTCAACTTGTCCGCCGAGCAGATTGCCTCGCACATTGACCTGCTCGGAGCAGAGTCGGCAAAGGTGGGCGGAAAAACAGATTTCCTAGAAACTTTCAAAAATAGAGCAATTGTTTTGATGACCAGTTTCTCCCCTTTTCTTCTAGGCCCAACAGCTGCAGGTGCCCATCACCAGCGCGCTCAAGCTCACCACCTCCACCACCACCGCCTTCAACAACGAAGACAACATCCTGTACCTGCTCTACGAGGTAGCTGAAGAAGTAAGTGATCATCGCAAAAAGCAGTGCAAGTATTCACCACTGGGCCTGCTTCGATTTGGCCACCGGAAGCTCTACTGCTCCGACGGCACTGAACTTCGCCTTCTCGCCCACTGTCCGGCAATTCTCGGTAAGCTTGTGATCTGCTGTGCTGTGCTCTATTTCTATGACTTCTATTTGATTGTTTTCGAACTGAGTGTAACCTAATCCGTTCATCTTTCCACTCTCCTTTTCTCTCATTCTAGATTTCTACGTCCGCGAGCAGCGACGCGGCCACGGTCGACTGCTCTTTGATTGCCTGCTGCTCGCCGGTGATGGACGAGATGGAGGAAGTGATGGAGGGGACAACCGGGGCGCCAGTGCAGAACGACCAGGGTGTCTGACGCCGGGACAGCTCGCATATGACCGGCCATCGCCGGCGATGGTCGCCTTCCTGCGGCGGCACTACTCGCTGGCCAGTCCTCGGCCGCAGCACAATCACTACGTGATCTTTGATGACATTTGGCGGCGATGGTGATTTGATGGTGATGGAGATGGGAGATGGTAGTGATCACTGCTTCTCGACTTACCATTTGGACCAACCACCGACCAACCACCGACCAACCAAGCATTCCACATTTATCAAAAGAAAAACTGCAAGCAATCGACTGCTGCTACATTCCAACAAGGCCTCTCCCTGCCTTTCTCCGAACGTTTCCATTTCTATTTCTACTTCTACACTTCAGAAGCAGAGAGAGCGAGTGAATAAATAACACCAAGTTAATGGCGCCGTTGACATTTGAGCGTCGTTGGAAGCAATTGCAGCGGCAGCAGCAGCTCGCCCACATTCCATCTCTCTTTCTCTCTGTTTTCGTACCTTTACCGTACACTGTCGTACACTACATTGTACGGTATAGTGTGAAGATCTTGGGGATCAGAAAGAGAAAGAGAGCGAGTAGCACCTCTACATCAGCAGCAGCAGCAATTGAGCAGATTAGGGACACAAACACACATTTTCTGGAAAGGAAATGGAGATAGCAGGCGAAAAGCGAGAATGGCAAACTGTCACCGTCGTCGACGTTTCACTTCTCCTTCTCTCCCCCGCTCTTTTATTCACTCGATTAGAGCTACCGTTCAGAGGAATAGAGCGAGCGAGAATAGAGCGGGCGCCTGAATCATTCCTGGTAGCCGGAGTGAGTAGGCGACTGCCTGAGTTCTAATGCTAGTGCAAATAACGGCCAAACAACGGGAAAAAGTTTTGCTGCCAAACAGCAAAATAGAATCGAGAATGAAGAGAGAACAGTTATCCGTGACGTAACGAGACTGACCTGAAGAGAGAGAGAGAGAGAGAGAGAGAGAGAGAGAGCGTGGGGTTTAGGTTGGCTCGACCATAAAGCCAGAAGATCCCGCCTTCTTCCTCCTCTTCTTCTTCTCGGATGGCCCTAAGTCGGCGGGCGCCATATATGCGGGCGCCATATCAGCGGCGCGTGTAGGTGCTCGGGACTGCGCACTTCTTTCTTTCTTTCGTTTTCTCTCTCTCTCTCTCTCTCTCTCTCTCTCTCTCTCNCCATATCAGCGGCGCGTGTAGGTGCTCGGGACTGCGCACTTCTTTCTTTCTTTCGTTTTCTCTCTCTCTCCTGGCAGTAAATGTCAGTAGGCGAGAGTGGGAGAATGGGTGAGAGGGAATGGGAAAGTGGTGGCGGCGGCGACCACCAGCTCTGGGGACAGCAGCTCAGCTCTGGTGCAAAGAGCGCGAAGAGCGGAGAGAATCGAGTGTCTCAGTAGTAGGCACTTGATTAGCCGTCGTCGCGGCCACCGCCGCTGCTGTGCTGTAGCCGTCGTCGTCGCTGATCCAATTTTCTCCTCCATTTACAACAGCAGTGCCGTGCCGCCTCTTCTGTGTTCAACTCTTCCTCCTTCTTCTTCATGGACAAGGTAATATAATAATGATGATGATGGGGATCGAGATGATTACCCGCTCGGATTACTCTACTAATCGAAGGAGGAGGAGAGGGATCGTAAATAAGTAACAGCATTTAACGACATTGATGACACTTGTTTTCGGTGCTGCTGCTGCGGTTGTTGCACACTTTTTATGTTCTCGCACTTTTAGGTCCGTCGCAAGCAGCAGAAACAGCAGAAGCAGCAGCGGCAACTGCCGGCGATCGGTGACGAAGATGAGGAGCAGGAGGAGGGCAAGGCTGCCAGCAGAAGTCCAATGGTAGCTGCTGCTTCGTCTTCAGGTGCTGCTGCTTCAAAGAAAGGTGCCGCTTCGACGCCTCCCTCTTCGTCCTCTTGCTCGAAGCCCTACTTCGGCGTCCGGTCCTACCTGCACAAGTTCTACGAGAATGCCTGCACCGCCAGCGACCTGGAGGACTACGAGGAGGACAGGTGAGAGCTCGATGAAAAAATCCTCACCCTTTTCCTTTAATCTTTCCCCCTTTCAGCAGCTGCTCTCTTCAGGGCACTCACACGGAGGAGATGATAAAACCAAGAAGTGGCTGTTGTCAGCAGCGCTACCTGATTATCAGCCTGCTCGTCGGTATGCTGGCACTTCTCGCCGGGCTGGGCCTTCTTCTGGTGGGCTTCGCCTTTCCCCGCATGCCCATCGACCTCGGCTACCAGGAGGAGATGCGCATCATCGACCGCCGGGCGGTGGCCTTCAACGAACACCTCGAACTGCTGAAGCTGCTGGGGCTGGTGGTCTTTGCGATGGGCGGCGCCGTGGTCGCTGCCGCCCTCCTCCTGCCCAGTCTGCTGGGAGCGTTCGGAGGGGACGGAACCGGTGATCAGCGATCTCGAGGCAGCTCGGAGGACTTTGATGGCGGCGAGGAGCACTATAAGGTGCGAGTGGTGCATGAGGAGCATCCTCGAAGCTACAAGAAAGTGACTTCTAGAAACGGTGGTGCTGGTGAAGAGGAAGACGATGACCCCGAGGAGGAGGAGGAGGAGGAGGCAGAAGACGCGACCCGGCGGCTGATTCCCGTGGAGGAGCAGCTGAGTGCGGTGCAACCCAAGGCGGAGCCGGGCGGCCATATTGTGGCCACTCTCAAAAAGGCCGGTCTCAAGACGATCAACTGAGTGATTGAGTGCGGTGATGATCGATGGGTCTGCGGTGAGACGAGACTTCCTTTTTCTTCTTCTTTCTCTTTTGCTGCTGCTGCTGCTGCTGTTGCACTACTCTACTTCTACTCTTGTTTTTCCCATTCCTTATTCCCAAGTCCATTTCCTCACCCCCATCCCACAGTGTGTCTTGTCCGTGCTTTTTCTTCTTCTTATCATGCATTTTAATTTCGAATCAACATCCTCCCCTCCTGTTTTCATGTGCGCTTCATCCTTGGCTACTACTAACAATAAACTAACACTCAGTCAGTCACTAACTAACAACAACAACTACAACAAGTTGGCATGAAATACTGTGCGTGTTTGAGTTTGAGTTTCAGGTGTTTGACTAGGGTATGTAAATAGGGGTCTCCTCTTCTGCAAACCATTGTGATGGCCCTATTCAGTCAATCAAGCTGAAATGCAGGAAAACGGGCCTCCAGCGGCCGCTGAATGTCCACCAGAAAATGGAGCGTCCCGGCGAGGCCCTCAAAGAGCGAGTAGGGCCGGTCGGCGTTGGTGCGGACGCCCAGCTCCTCGTGACGTCCATACTGGAGGCTGCACCACTCGGCAAACTTCACCGCCCGGTAGAGCCACCGACTGTCGCGCCCTCCGCTCAGCTGGTAGAGGCGGAGGAAGGCGTAGGCGTTGCCGGCGGCGCCGTGGCACAGTCCGTAGCCTTTGGAGGTGGAAATAGGCGTGAAAATCGTCCCAAAATCGAACTACCGCCGGTCACTTACCCTTCTTCAGTAGTCCTCGCGTCCAGATGTCCTCCCCCGCCTTGAGGGCAATCTCCGCGTACTGACGCCCTTCGCCTTCCGCTCCAAAGACTTCGCTCGCCGTCGCCAGCATGTACACCACGCCCGGCGACCCATGACACCAGTGCACCAGCTTGTCCGTCTTGTCCTCCCCCATCGACGAGGGAAAGTTGTCCGTGCCGGGGAAGCGCAGCGAGCAGACAAAGTCGATCATCGGCTTCACCAGCTCTCGCAGCTGCTGCTCCGTCAGGTAGGCCCTCGCCTGGAGGAGGAGGTAGGCGATGCCGGCGTAGCCGTGGGCCGCTCCGACGTAGGGCGAGCCGTGCCAAAAGTACACCAGCGGAGAGGGAATGTCGGGGCGCTGAGCGGCGGTGCGCAAGCCCGAGTCGAGGATCGCCTGGACGACGGAGCGAATCAGCTGGTCAGGCAGGATCTGGGCGCACTTCGAGCCGATGTAGGGGTCATCGCGGGCCAGCTCCCGCCGAAGCAGCAGCAGCGCGTAGAGGTAGCCGGCGCGGCCGTACAGCAGCTCATCGGGCAGGTCTCGCTCGTGGCCACTTCGGCCCATCTTGTGATCGAGGTCCAGCACGGAGGGCGCATGGGCGGCGATCCGATTCAGCAGGTCCTCGGCGCCGTTCCCCGGCAGACCGCGGCGGAGCTTCGCCTCCAGCAGGGCGGCCACCGTCTGCAGGCCCACCTCGCCGCAGAGAAAGGTGGGCACGCCGTAGCCGCGCTTCCTCGCCGGCTGCCCGCCCAGCGTCAGGTCCACCAGCGAGGCGGCCTTCTGCAGGTAGTGCAGACATTCAGCGGCTGCCACGGGTGATCCCTGCTTCGCCCGGGCGCCCTCCGCCAGCTTCAGGTAGAGCAGCGCCGAGCCGGCGATGCCCGTGTAGACGCTCTGGTCGCGGCCACCGTCGAGGTCCTTGGCGAAGTTCCGCTCCCAGACGCCGAGCAGAGAGCTGCTGGAGTCGGCAAAGGCGGCCTCGGTGATCGGCTTGGCGAGGTCCTCCCGAAGAGCGCCTGAATCGGAGGGGGATGTCAGGCTCTCCTGGCCGTCGTAGTCGGCAAAGGGATTCGGCACAAAGCGAGCTTGCGAGGAGGACATGTCACTTTCGTTTTTGTTTGCTGATTTGAAGGTGGACTTTGAAGGAGGAGGTCGTCGTCGTTCTTCTTCGGCGCTGTCAGAACTGTCATCAACACCACCACAACAACAGCTGTTGCAAAGCGATTTGCCCAGCAGTGAAAGCATCCGCGTGTAGGGCTGCCAGTTGGCCAGTGAATTGAGCATCTTTGTGAGCCGCTCGCAGAGGACGTTAGAAAAAAAACTTGACACCGCTTTCACCATCTAGCGAGTTCTAATGGTGAACTAGGTGAAGTTCGCAAATTAAATCAGGAAACTGGTAAAAAAGTTTTCTTTCTGTTTGTTTATTTGTGCATCTTGGAACAAGAGTGGAAAAAGGAGTGAAGAAGAGGTAACATTGGTACAAGTGGTCGCATAATACTGAGAAAAGGAAAAAGGAAAAAATACTGAAAAAGTCTGACTGGGTGGAGTGGGTTTGTCAAACTGAAAAAAAGTAGTGTTGAGGTACAAAAAAGTGATCAAAGAAAAGAAGAATAGAAATGAATTGAATGGATGGATCGCTATTGCTCGTAATAACGGGACATCAGTGCTGGCACTGCTCCAACGCTTTCAACTTCGCCAGCAGCAAACTTGATCGTACTCTGGACAATGTCCGGAGCGGCCACTGAAGAGGTTGTCTTGCTCTCAAAGAAAAGCTGATCAACTGAAGGAGGACTTTCACTTGAAGGCAGTCCAGTGTACTGAAAAAAGCAAAAAAAGTTAGAAAATAGAACACAGACTACTTCAAAACTTACCTGAGCTCGTTGATGATCACCGTAAGCAGGCAGAACGTCAAACTGCTCGCCATTGGCGGCAACAATGACATTGCCACCGGTGTTGCCTTGAACACCTTCTAAAACTACTGCAGCCGCAGCTTCAGCGGGAGTACTCTCTGAAGGCGTGTAGTAGTGATTGGCCGTCAAAAGTTGGTAAAAGTTCTGTTGCTGCTGCTGAGATCTTTGAAGGTCGCCCCCGCTTCTGACGCCATACAGCTGACTGAACCTGCTGTGAAAGTTGAGCTGTTGTTGCTGCTGAACGACCTTTCGCCGTTCTGCTTCTCGCTTCACCTCGCGGACGGTTCGAATTTCCTGCGCCGGCTTAGCTGCCATTGCTGCCGAGCTTTGCTGAACAGCCGAAGCTGTTTGTTGGTGGTAGTTGTAGATCTGCCGTATCTGCTGGTCAATGATGCTGCCGTCCGAGCCGTAAGGATGCGAAGATGAAAGGTGATGGTGGTGGTGGCCAATCATGTCCTTCGTCGGGTCAAACTCGCACATTGTAGAACTGCTGCCGCTGTTGTTGCCCGACAGTGCATTGAGGTTGTGCTGCACCGAGTCGTTGTTGTTGATCTCCAAAGAGGAGGAAGCTCCGTTTGTTGACACCCCGTCTTTGGCGGCAGTAAACTTGTTCCCACCGTACTGCTTACTGGCAAGGTTGATGTTCAGCGTAAAGAACTCGTCGTTTTCCATGTCCTCCAGGCCCTCTCCCTCCTCCTCGTCCTCGAGACTGTTGCTCTGAAGGTGATTGTGAATGTGATGATGGTTTAGAAGACTTCCATTGCTGCTGCTGTTGTTGTTGTTGTTCACCTGATCATTACTTGCAAGGGAAATGTTCTCATAGAGAGGAATCGAAGAGGGCGAGGAAAAGGAGTTCTCCACATCCTCTACCTCCTCCTCCCCTACATCTTGTGAAAAGTACGCCCCTGAAAGAGGGGTTTTCGAGACACATTGTTGCTCTTGAGTTGGAGGAGTTGGAGGACAGAGCTTCAGGCCCTCAATCGCTCGGTTCAGCTCCTGCCGCCGACTGTGCAGGTCGTCAATGACGGCGTTGATGTGCGCCAGCTCCGCTGCCAACTTTGAGCTTCGGGCCAGCTCAGCCGCCTCCTGCTCACTGGCGAGTACCTGCTTCAACTTGCTCCTAGCAAGCCGCATCTCCTGCTCCATCTGCGCATTCTCCACCGCCTTCTCCTCCAGTCGGCGCGTGGAGTGGGTGAGCAGACCGCGAACGCGGTCCAGCTCGCCGGCCAACGCCGTCTGCTGCCGCCGCAGGTGCTCCAGGTTTGTAGTGGCTGGCGGTGGTGTTGGGCTGTCCTGGTGAGGGTGATGAAGTTGGTGGTGGTGGTGATGATCCGGTGGTGCCGGAGTCGTTGAAGTGGAGGATGAGGAAAAGTTCAAAGCTTCGGTTTTCAAAAGCGGCTCCACCGTGGGAAGTTCTGCGGCCGCCGCTAGCTGCAACTCCGAGAGCTGCCGCCTTACGGTGGAAATAGCCGCCGTCGCCGCCTCCCTTTTCTCTTGATCTCCAATGCCATCTTCGAGATTACCACCTTCACCACCGTATCCTCGATCATAGTCAACTAGCAAGGTCGACATCGAGGCGGCCTTTTTAGGGTACGAAGAAGAGCCCGTTTTTAAAGAAATCTTTGAAGACTTTCCACCGCCGCTTGAGCCTTTTCGGTAGTGGTTCCTGTGGCTTGAAAACTCCGTGTTTTTGGAAATTTCAGAGTCGGAGATGTTGTTTAGGCTATGGTGGTGGTGGTGATGGTGATGATGATCCTCCTTCGGAGACCGCCTCTTCACCCGACGTTTCGTTCTACCGTTTGAGGCGGTGGTGCTGCTCGAGTGCTTTGAGCTGCCGCTGCCGCCGCGATTCAGTGATCCGGGATCTGTTGAGAAGTTAAAAAAAGGTTTAAAAAGTTGAAAACTGAAAGTTTGCTAAAAGATTATAAAACTTTTGGAAGTGGGTCAGGGTCACTGCACTGTTTGTGTGTGGGGGGTTACCTAGCGTATCCTCATCCTTCCGCTGCTGCTCTAAACTGCTCGGGATGGCACTTTGAGAGTGATGGTGGTAGTTTTCGTAAATGTGCCCCTCTCCATCTTCATCGCCAGTGACTAGTTCCTTCGGGACGACATTAATCTGCGTAGTCTTCTCCTTTTCCTTTTCCTGCATCATCATCATCTCTCGCTGACGCTTTTCATTGCACTCATTGTCCGCTTCTTCCTCCTCCTGCTTTTGAATTACTACCGCTTCAGAAGACTTTTTCTCCTCAGAAGGCGCTTTTCCCTTCGCCTCAGTCAGTGTTTTAGGTATCGATGGCGAAGGTTTGGCTGTTGCTCCTGCTAAAGAAGTCTGCTGGTTTTTGACGCCCTGCAACGTGGTCATGCCCAGTAGCCGTGCAGCGCTCAGACTACCTCCACTACCGGTGCTTGCCCGAGACAGCAACGCCGGCGGCGAGGCGGCAAAGTTGCAGTCCAGCTTTCGCCGCAACTGTTCTCTCTGCTCTGCACTGAGCAGGTCAGAGTAGTAGTAGGGAGCTGAAGAGGAGGAAGAAGTGGTAGTGGTGATTGTAGTTGAGGTCGTAGAAATTGCAGAGTTTAAAGGTGTTGGCTTTGAAGCTTCAGCCAAAACAGCAGTGACCGGAACAATGTCACTGGATGTGTCACTGGTTCCAGTGACGCTTCCACCGCCGCCGCTCTTTGGCCTTCGATAGGTGCGCACCTTGCTGCTCAGCTTGAACTTCACTTCTGCCTCTCCATCATCTCCACCATTTTCTTTCTGAAGATTAAGCTCCGAAGAGGTGATCATCTGAAAGGACAGCAGCGAAGAGCTGCAACTGCTGCCTGAAATGGTAGAGGCGGTGGCTGCTGCTGCTGCTGCGGCCGATTCAATGGCCATCTTTGCCGCCTTCACCCGACCGGAGCTGGAAGTAGGCAGATGTTCGCTGCTATGAGTACTTCCGTTTAAAGTGTTTAGTACTGATGGTAGAGGCGGTTGCGCCGGCAGACCAACGTCATTCCAGTCTGCAGTAGCCACATTTGTCCTCGATTTAGTAGTCTTCAATTGCTGTTGCTGCTGCTGTTGATTCCGGTTGAGATTAAGATCTACTGATTGTATCGAATGTCCTTGGCTGCCGTTGTTCAAGGAAGCCTCCGAAGAAGAGGTGTAAGTGTTTGTGTAAGAGGGACAGTCGGTGGTTGACAAAGAAACGGGCTGAGAGGAAAGGCTGCTGTTCTGTCGCTGAAAAAAAAGCTTTGACGCTTTGTACATGTCCTCTTTGCTCATCTCAATCAGTCCATCTTCTGTGGTGGCGGTGGTTCTTGATGACGTCAGGCAGTCTAAGTGTTTGCAATGAGGCGGCAATAATGGCAATAAAAATAGGGATGTGTTAGTAGTTGAAGAAGAAGAAGATAATGCGAGAGCCTAATAATGATAGCGCCAATTGCGAGCGGTAAGCGAGGGAGCTTCGCCGCTAAGTTGATCAGCAAAACAGCATCAAAGGAAAGGAGAAAAATAATGGGAAAAGAAGCAAAGGCGCCCATTCAGTCAACAAGAAAAGATGATGAGGAGAAGGAGGAAAATTGAAAGGAAAGATGAAGATGAAGAAAAAGATGATTGAGCAAAGTGGAAAGGAAAAATGTATGTCAATTGGGTGCAGACTGCTGATGAAAAGGGATGCAATGCGGTCAAAATTGAGAGAGTAAAGGGGGAATTTAAAAATGATGAGCAGTAAAAAGGATGATCAATAAAGTAATGTAATAGTAGTGGTTAGAAGGAACAGAAGAAAGAGAAGATTGATAGTAGAGTTAAGTGGTTAACAAGGGGCCATATTAAAGAAGAAGTGAAATGGGAAAAAATGTGGAAAGAAAAACACCAAACGAGCGCACTTACTTTCTTCCTCCGACGTGGTCGATAAATAGTTATTTGTCACCATTTGAGCTTCAGTTGATCTTTTGGCCGTTCTGTTTGCTAGTAAAGAGTTATCTTGTCGGTGATAGTGGTATTCAGAGGGCAGCGGAGGTCGCATCGGAGAAGGTTGTTCCATTTGGTGAACTGCTCCACCTGCTGCTGAAGTGGTGTTATTATAAAGCAGACCACTGTAGGTCGCCGTCTGAGAGAGAATCTGCGGAGCGGCAGCAACTGTAGACTGCGCCGATCTTCGAAACTGTAGTCCACTTGAAGACGGCGTTCCATTGAGCATCGGCCCGTAGCGAGCCATGCTCGACTTGGGCCTAGAGGGCAGTATGCTGGCAGTGCTGTTAACGGTCGCATTGGTCTTTGCAGCAGCAGCAGCTATGGTGAAAGCATTTTGGCACTCCTCATCAAAGCCTCCTTGATCTGCCTCCTCCTCCTCTTGATCATCACGCTCGAGAAAGTCCGCCGAGTGGGGCCTGGGCGGCAGGCGGTGTTGAAGGTAGGCAGAAGGTAGCTCCTCATTAGTTGCAGCAGCAGCCGCGACAGCTCCAAAGTAGTATCCGCCGTCGAATGCAGTAGCAGCGTTTTGAAGGTAATAAGATCCAAGCTGTTGCTGTTGAGCTGGAGGATATCCGCCACCATTGTACGACAGTGCCGAAGAAGAGGAGATCGATTCCTGCTGATGCTGCTGAAACTGCTGCTGCATCGCCGGTAGGTGGTCATAGGTGAGCATGGCGTCCTCGTAGAACTGCTGCTGCTGCTGCTGTTGATTTTGCTGTTGCAACAGCCTTTGTGGCTTAGGCGGCGCAAAGGCGTGTAGAATGGCATTGGCGTCTTCCCCAGTGAAGGCTCCGGACACGCCGCCGCCTGTGGTGGAAGGCGCCACCGAGGGCAGGCCAATGGAGTTGTAGAGGTTCAGCTGAGAGGTAGAGCTAGAGTTGGGCGTCAGTTGCTGGGTAGCTGCTGCTAGCTGAGCCTGATACTGAGCTTGCTGAAACTGGCTTTGGCTCTGATAGCCGTACATCATCATCATCTGCTGCTGTTGCTGCTGTTTGGCCTCTTCGTAGGCGAGAAAGTTGGCCGCCACCGAGGACGACGACTCGTCGAAGCCTATTGCACGCTGACCTATTCCATTACCGTTCGGCTGCTGATGGTTACTTTGAAAGAGGTGATAACTGTTTGGCTGCTGACCTTCTCCACCATTGGCACTGGCATTCTTTGGCACTGCCGTTTGAGCAGCTGAGGAGTTGTTTTTGGAGCTTTTTGCTAAAGCTGTAGAGGAGGTTTTTGGGGATTCTTTCGATGAGCTTCCATTCATCTGCTGCAGTCCCATCTGCGGACAGAGCGCCGCCAGTTGCATGATACTGGCAAGGGAGAGGGCGTTCATCCACTGCTGCGCCGTCTGCTTGCACTCCGCCGCAAAGTAGTAGGTCTTCATGTTGGAGTGCTCGGCCTTGAAGGCGTGCCGGCGGCTGATGCCATCGGTGGTGGCAAAGCAGGGGCTGATGCGGTAGCTGGGCAGCAGCACCGAGCCGAGCTTCTTCTCTTCGTTGATGTCTACCGAATTAAAGTGGTTAATCACCTTGATTGTTCCCTTTCAAATTAAAAAGCTTACCCTTATAGTAGAAGAGAACATAGTCGGTGAGGACGCACCACCGCCGCTTCCACTGCTTTAGCGGAGCCGCCCCTTCCAGGCGGTACAGCCAACCTCGAAGGGAGACGGTGAACTCCGCCGAACGGTGCACATTTGGCGAGCGAAGATGTGTTCCAAAGCCCTTTTTACCGAGTCCTCCTCCTCCTCCTGAAGAGGAACTCCCACCACCTCCACCTCCATTTCGAGCCGCCGGCTTCTTCAGCTGCACTCGAAGGCCGTCCATGACGAGGNTAATCACCTTGATTGTTCCCTTTCAAATTAAAAAGCTTACCCTTATAGTAGAAGAGAACATAGTCGGTGAGGACGCACCACCGCCGCTTCCACTGCTTTAGCGGAGCCGCCCCTTCCAGGCGGTACAGCCAACCTCGAAGGGAGACGGTGAACTCCGCCGAACGGTGCACATTTGGCGAGCGAAGATGTGTTCCAAAGCCCTTTTTACCGAGTCCTCCTCCTCCTCCTGAAGAGGAACTCCCACCACCTCCACCTCCATTTCGAGCCGCCGGCTTCTTCAGCTGCACTCGAAGGCCGTCCATGACGAGGGCAAAAAGTCCTCCACTGCCGTTTGAAGTTTGGCTACTTTGGTGGTGATAGTGGTGTGGAGATCTTTGAAAGTTGTGTGCTGGAGATTGGCTAAAGGAAGGGCTGGTGGTGGTCACAATGTCGCCATAGTAGTAAGGAGCTGCGGTGCTGGAGTTTTCCAAATTTCGAGGCTGATAAAAGGTGGTGGTGGTGGTGGTGAAGTTGTTATTATCCCCTCCAGCCTCTTCCTCACCCTCTTCCTCCGCTTCAAAGTTGTCTATCTGTCGTCTTGCTGGTGATGATGATGATGTCCCGTTTCTGATGATCTTTGTCGAGGTAAACAGGCCACCATTCTGCAGCAGCTGCTGCTGCTGATTCCTGTGTTGATGCCTCTGCTGATGCTGCTGACAGCGGTACTTGCCCAGCAGGCTGGAGCAGCCTAAGAGGTGATGATGATGATGACCAGCCGCTCGATGGCTGCCGTCAAAGGAGCTGTCAAAACAGAAAAATACGATTAAAATCAGTTAAAGAAAAAAGATCTTTTGGCGCCTAAAGCCAAGTTTTCTATTCTAGTTCTCTTCATCATCTGACTGTCGTTCATCTTCACACACACACCTCGACTGACAGCAGAAGAAGCGACTGAGGTGACAAAAGCTAAAGTTAGTGGCAGTGGCAGCAGCCGCAGCTGCCGAGGTGATCTGGTCACTGTCATTCATCATGTGCTTTGGAAGAATTATAAGAAAAATTGGAAAAAGATAAGAGGTACTCTATCAAGATGGAAAAATAGACTGATAGAGGACATCACAGATGAAGAAGAAGAGCAAATAGAAAGGGAAGAAACCGTAGCAGGAGTTCAACCCCTTTTTCACCAAAGGAAAGAGAGAGCCAACCAAAACAAAGCCGCTCTGGTACGGTCTGGTCTCTCTCTCTCCCTCTTTCCCAAACCAGAGCGGTCGCGGGCGCACATCTTTTCTCCTCTTTCTGCTGTTCAAACTTTGCCTGTGTGCCTGGAATGTGTGTTTGCCCCCTTCTTCAGTCTGAGAGCAGAGCAGTCTGCGAGTTCGGGTATCGATCGAGAGTGAGTGAGTGANTAGAGGACATCACAGATGAAGAAGAAGAGCAAATAGAAAGGGAAGAAACCGTAGCAGGAGTTCAACCCCTTTTTCACCAAAGGAAAGAGAGAGCCAACCAAAACAAAGCCGCTCTGGTACGGTCTGGTCTCTCTCTCTCCCTCTTTCCCAAACCAGAGCGGTCGCGGGCGCACATCTTTTCTCCTCTTTCTGCTGTTCAAACTTTGCCTGTGTGCCTGGAATGTGTGTTTGCCCCCTTCTTCAGTCTGAGAGCAGAGCAGTCTGCGAGTTCGGGTATCGATCGAGAGTGAGTGAGTGAGAACGGCAGTCAATGAAGTGAGTGCGGGTGGTCCCCTCTTTCCCCTCTTTCCAATAAAGAAAAGAAGAAGAGAGAATCTTTGCCCGCCATCAGTGTCCGCTGCCGTACAAGCGCCCACCGTCGTCGTCGTAGTCGTACAGACGGTGGTGGTATATTGCACAATGCATTGTCTGCCTGCCTGCCTGGTCTGACCTGACTCAAACGGTAGCCGTCTGTGCGAGACAGTGGCCAACACACACACACACACACAACCTTGCTAAGCATAATGATGAAGATTAACAGTGCATTCACGTACCGGTGTGCTCTGATGTGATGGCTGCTGGAGTGCTGTTGGAAGGGGGTGATTGGCTGGGTTTTATGGTTTGCGGGTGCTGAAGTGAAATGATATGCAATAGTGCAAAAGCACACACAAACACACGCTGGCAAAGAAGAAGAAAAAGAAGAAAAGGCAGAGTCGGTTGCAGAGTTGGCTGTATCGTAAAAAACACAGCGCTGAGAAGGGGAAAAGTGCTCCCAGCAACTCGTGTGTTGTTGATGTCACAACAACGAAAGCCACTCTGCTGTTACCAGGGCAAACA